TATAATAATGTACAGAACTTAAAACAGACATCCATCCTACAAACACCCTTTTACTTTAGGAAATAGTCATTGCAAAATATTTATGTACTTAAATTCCATCTTCTGTATATTAATAACTACACAGTTAATCTAAAACCCTAAATATTACCCAGGCGAAATTACGTTGAAGTGCTCCTTGCACAAACTGGCTTCATGCAATTTGTAATCTTGGTGGTTGTGAGGTTGTTTGTTAACTCTGTATCCTCCATGAGCGGAAACTGAAATAGGTGCTAACAGCATAACATGCTGTGACCAGGAATGCAAAGAACTGAAACGAGAAAAGAATGTTTTACATTACTTCCACTTGCAATTAGTAACATGTTGCTAGTTTCACACCTGCAAATCATGTACGGTTTCCATTTTTTGTTAACCTATATGTGTGTGTGTGTGTGTGTGTGTGTATGTGTGTGTGTATGTGTGTGTGTGTGTGTGTGTGTGTGTGTGTGTGTGTGTGTGTGTGTGTGTGTATGTGTATACGTGTGTGTGTGTATACGTGTGTGTGTGTATACGTGTGTGTGTATACGTGTGTGTGTATACGTGTGTGTGTATACGTGTGTGTGTATGTGTGTGTGTGTGTGGTTTGTTTTTTTTAAGCAGTTTAAGCCTCACTTTCATCATGCACTGCTAGCAAAACAGAGACATGTCAGAACTTACTGAGCTTCAAAGAGGGAAAATTGTTGGTGCCCGCTTAGCTGGTGCCTCTGTGACTGAAGTTGCCAATTTATTTGCCATGTTACAAGGTACAGTATCAAAGGTTATGACAGCATATACAGTATCAGGGATAATGTCTGATGAGCATAAGCACGGTCGACATGGTCAACTGACCGAAAGAGACAAAAAGAACATTACACAGTATTACAACTGGGAATAAGAAAACTGCTGAAAAAGTGATTGCAGAGCTCAATCTCAGTCTTCATCGGACTGAAATTGAGCTCTGCAGTCACTTTTGCAGATTCCTTGCATTTTGATTCCATCAGATTAGATGAATCGGCTTTCCATTTGGATTCAAGTGTATCATATTTCATATTTTGATGCAAGCAATTTTGTATAGTAGTGTGAGAAAAGCTTCTTGTTCTCTGATGATCAAAACAAGTTTCAGTGATGGTAGTTTGAATGGGAACATCTCTAGAGATGAACTGGGCATAAGCAGCATGCCGGAGTTGTGGGTATTTATAATGTCATGATTGAGACATTGAGTAGTGTTCTCATTGTTGCTTTAAAAGTTATTGTTATAGTATTAGTTGACATTAATACTTGAATCCCAAAAAATCCAAATCCATTTCTGTAGGAAACTCAAAGATATAGGATTATGCCACAGTGCGTGTTATTGAGAGAGTGTATTAGGGTAGGGATTTTCAGTCGTTTTCATGGTTGTTTACACAAAAAATGTTGCACTGATGTGCCATTCTTAGAGTAGTCACCGATTGATTTTGCTGTAGCCACCACATTCATGCCCGAATTCATCCACTATAGAACATAGGTTTAGAGAGGCCAACCCACAATTAGCTGCAGAGTTGCAAAGTACAGCAAGTCATAATCTAGGTGTAGGCGGTCTTCGTATGTATGAAGATATTAAGGAATTCAATACAAAATTTCCAATGTCCATTACACACCAAGGCATTAACTAGGCTATAGGAATTTAGTCAGGTATACCAGACTGATTCTGCTCATCAAATTAAGTGAGTTTTTGCCACTGTGGAATTTTCTACCCGAAAGAGGTAAGATGGGAAGTTTAATTTTTTCACATTGGATATTCAGATATTCTAATTTGATCTGCAGATCACAGTAGATGGCCAATGGTATTTGAGTGATAGCGTTGATTTAGGAAGTTAATAAATATCCCCCAGTTATCTTTAAACCCAGAAATTGGACAGTTACCAATTATGTCTAGCAGTAAAACAGGAGCGAGGGTTTGTGAAATACACAATCACATCATCTGTATCCAACTACACTCGCTCCCCCAGTGAGCCAAGTTTCCAGTGCTGCATATGTGAAGTCACACAAGGTATTGTGGGAAGAGGCTCTATAGCTAAAGCAAAAATAAGTAGAGAGCGAACATCTTGGTCTCATTCCTTGAAGTGGTCTGTTGTAAGATTAATGCCTAGTTTGGCTTTCAGTCATTTTGCTCAGTTAATAAAGTTGGGCCCAATCCAAATTTCCAAACTTCAATAATGCAGCTATCTTGCTGCTAAAAATGTCATGTTTTATTTGGAGGTTAGTAAACGGTCTCCTAATGTTAGGATTTGTAGCTCAGCCAGGCATAAATCCAGTTTAAACTGATTTGACCAGATATGTAATACCCTTGTTTAAACAAGACTGTCAATACCTTAGCCAGCATTTTGGCATCAGTATTAATAGGTGATATCAAGCAATATGATACACACTGGAGAAGGCCTTTGTTTGGCTTGAGGCAGTAAAACAATCCGTGCTCCTCTCTAATTGTAGGCCTCAGTTATATATCTCTAGTAGATGAGGTATAATGTTTACACCTCTTCCACCATTCAACAAGATACCAGTCTAATTCAAGAGTTTTATTTTTGAGAAAGTAGTTAGTTGCATGTTCAATTTCTTTCACTAAGTGATAAGCCATGAGCAATCTTGTGATCAGTGGGAAGAATGGGCGGCCCGAATACTCCAAAATGTTCTTCTAGTTCTAAAAAGTTTAAAATAAATATATTTTGCTATAAAACATTCTGCTATAGAAAAAAAAAAAAAAAGTTTGTTTAATCTCCTGCCCCCCAGTACATTTTCTGCAGCAGAGCTGCACAGGCAGGCTCAGTCACACAGGCAGTGACCAGGAGGTGACGTCATCATGCAAGGCAGTGTTGTCTCATGGATGTCGTTCTTTTACGGCTGGAGACCACCGTACTTATGAATCAAAGCCATTTCACTTGTGTCAGTGGAGACACGAATCTAATCCATTTCACTTGTGTTAGTGGAGACACAAAACCATGAGTATTTTTTTGCAGTTTTCATAAATATATGAAATAGTTTTACGCTATGGAGGCTCCTTCTACCCTTTTTTCCTTATGAGTGAAAGTGGTACAGTATATCATTTTAAGAAGTCCCTGAAGATAGGATTGCAGGCTGCAGACCGTTACTCTCAGAGCAACAAGCGCTTATGCTGGTCTATAAATTTCATCAGCATATCGCTCTGATGAGTTTCTCCAATTCATCTGGTGGTGGATAGAGCACTTTTTTTGGTGGTGTCATTGGCATGGTGGAATTTGCACAAGTAGCACTTTACTAGTGAAGAATTTCACGTATTGGATGGACACAGAGTTATGTTGGACTTTGTGATGATATGACTACATCTAAAGTTATATAATTGACATCCCTTGCACTTTATTTATTTGATTGCACTAGTCACTTTATACATTTATATGTGATGAGAAGGAAAGTTATATATTAGTCACATTATATTGCACTTTTACTGTATGTGAGACAGAGGCACAGAAGGGTTTGTTATATGTATTAATTGTTTGCACTTTCCATTAAGGGGGATCATTTTAATATACATTTAATCTTTTGAGTTATGGATTAGGTGCTGGAGATCAGTGAGCAGCACTGTTCTAGAAGGTTTAATTAATGGGATTTCCATTAAGAACGGCAGCTACCTGTTAGTTTTGCGGGGTTTTTTGTGAGTGGTTCAAGGGTCCAAAGCGCAGTCCCACTTATTATATTACGCATATAGGTAACTGGCCTCTTCGAAGTATGTGGGCATGCATGCACTCCCTGCCAACCCACACTGTGATTGGACACAATATGATTTTGTCGACAGGTTTCAGCCAATGATTTTGGCTAAAACCAGATGATCAGGGGTGTCCAATCACAGCCCGGGAGTCCTGTGTAAACAGAAGAGTAATCCTGTGGTTTATTCTCCCTGAAAAGCAGGGAGAATAAATACAAGATCTGCAAGTAAAAGCAGCACATAATACACACATTGTTAGGCACAGTGTTAACCCCTTGATTGCTCATAGATGTTAACCCCATCCCAGCCAGTGTCATTAGTAAAGTGACAGTGTACAGTATTAGCATTGATCACTGTATTAGTATCACCATTGATGTTAGTGTCAGTTAGTGTACCTAGCACCAGATTGCCTGCCACCATCACAGTCCCACTGAGTCTCTGATAACCATCATTAGCAGTATAGTGTCATAGGTGCGTAAATTACATATAATATATATATACACACACACACACACACACACACACACACACATATATATATATATACATACACACACATACATATACATACACACACACCATTGTAGATGCTATAACCAGGACTTTTTTCACCTGGAAATTGGTGGAACACAGTTCTGCCACCTCCAGCTCAGGCCCTTTGTTCCCTGCTCACTGCTATCACTTGTAAACACAGAAGTACGGCTTTCGGCCTTTTACCACATGATCAGATGTGTCCAATGACACAGCAGTTCACCGAGTAAATACAGTTGCCGGTTATCTGCAGCACTTTCCTCACGCTGTCACAGCGTGAGGAAAGTACTGCTGATAACTGGCAGCTGTCACAGAGGAGATTGGCACGGATCATCAGGGCACGGATGATCAGTGCCCTGCAGTGCCACCCGCCAGTGCCCCCCAGCAGTTGTGCCCATCAGTGCTGCAAATCAGCGCCAAGTGCCACCTATCAGTTCCCATCATTGCCTCCTCATCAATGCCCACCAGTGCCCCCTCATCAGTGCAGCCTGTGCCACCTCAGTGCCCATCAGTGCTGGCTATCAGTGCCACATTATCAACGCACATCAGTGAAGGTGAAAAATTACCTGGTTTGCAAAATTTTAATGAAAATGTTTTGATATTTTTTTGTTTATAGTGCAAAAAATAAACCCCCCAGTAGTGATTAGCTACCACCAAAAGAAAGCTCTATTTGTGTGAAAAAAATAACAATTTCATATGGATACAATGTTGCATGATTGCACAATTGTCATTCAAAGTGTCACAGCACTGAAAACTGAAAATTGGCCTGGGCATGAAGGGGGTAAAAGTGCCCGGTAGACAAATGGTTAAGGAGGAATTGACATGGATGGAATTCACTGGGGATGCTTCCCCACATACAGAAGTTGGACCCATCCCCCTTCATTTTATGAAGACAAAATTTAATTCTACACAGACTAAAAAAGCAAAAAAAACCACTCACCGCAGACGCCGTCCAACTATTGTAGTTGTGATCGACAATTTCTTTGGTTATTGAAGTTGCATCTACCACAGCAGCAATGAGGTATAAAACAAAGGCACTTCCATAAAAACATAGACTCTGTTAAATTCAAAGAAGAAAAATAAGGGAAAAAAAAACTTGCAGCACATACATGTACAAATTGTAAAAAAAAAAAAAGAAAAAATAAGTCTAGAGTGGAAATCCAGAGATCACAGTAGCTCATTCATTTTCCGAGTTGGTGCATCAGATATTATTCTTGAAATGTCATGAATCTATGATACGACTGTTAATAATCATAGCAAAAATAGTGCCACTGTTGGTGATATACTAATGAGTACAAATAAAATAGTGTAAAGTGACAAAATGTGAACAATCATCCATTAAGGTGATCAAAGGTGCTATAATAACAAAGTCCCTGTTTAACAGATAGACATGACATCTCAGATGAGGGTGATCCTCTAGAAATCTTCTGGTGATAATTGAATAAAATTACGCACTTACCAGATGCGCAATAATGTTGCACATTTGAGAACACAAATATCTCAGTGGGCCAGCTGGATCATCCTGTTGGACATCTATCCCTGGTAAGGACTCCCCTCTGGGTCATCAGTAGAAATACAGCACCTCACACCTCTTCTTAGGATAGGCTCTGTGGGTGGTAAGGCTGGGGGCTGTCTAACAAAGCCTCCTCCAACAGCAGCTTATCCATAGCAGGAATGGTCTCCTCCACAGACAGGGCAGGTACTGAATTATTTAGCTGGATTCAATTAGCACCCCCTCCTCCAGCTCCCCGCACAGGAGGGGGTGCTAAATGAATCCAGCTAAAAATAAATAAAAATTGTCCATTTTTTTTTTTGCAGGTAAAAAAAAAAAAAAAATGTTAAATTATTTTTTTTTGGAGCCTGTAAAGCAAAGCATTGCACCAATGATCAGCAGATTGCTGGTGCCATGCAGGACTCCTGCAGACTGTCAGTGTAATCGGTGTGCTTGTACATCATACAACCAGACTGTTATATTCCGACAGACTTAATGAGCTACCACAGTGCTCAACAGCGCCATGGTAGTTCATTGAGAACTACAAGCCAACATGCACAAAGGATGTCGATACTTGTAGTTCATACTTTCACAGAACTTTGAATGAATGACGTGACCATGTGGGTGGAGCCCTGCGTGGGATGTCAGTGACACCAAGTCAGTTCCCCCCAGTGTCAGAATGGCCACCATAATCCCGCTAGAAGTCGCTCATCGCTGCCATTACTAGTAAAAATAAAGTATATACACACACCACCATTTGTAAACGCTATAACTTTCACATAAACCAAATTTATACGTATTGGGATTCTTTTTAGCAAAGACATGTGGCAGAATACATTTTGGCCTAAATTTATGAAGAAATTAGATTTTTAATGGACATGTTTAATAGCAAAAAGTCAAAGATATTTTTTTTTCTCAAAATTGTCAGACTTTTTTTTTTTTTTTTTTAATAGCGCAAAACATAAAAAATACCATCAAATACCACTGAAAGAAAACTCTATTCGGGGGGGGGGGGGGGGGAGGACGTAAATTTAATTTGGGTGCAGCATTGCATGTCTGCGCAATTGTCAGATAAAGTAACCCAGCGCTGTAATGCAAAAAATGGCCTGGGCAGGAAGGGGGGGGGGGGGGGGGGGGGTGGGGGGGTAAATCCTCGGGAGGGTAAGTGGTTAAAAGGTAAAAACCTTCAGGCTTTAGGACCAATTTAAAAAAGGTATTCCCCATCATATATTCTGGCTTGATCTGAGTGGTCATGGGCAATTTAAAAAACATCAAATAGGAGCTCTGGGCTCCCCTCAAAAAATTAAATGAAAGCAGCTACAAATACTGCAGCTGCTGAGTTTTAATATAAAAGGGCACTTATCTGGCTGGTGGGAGTGGGGGAGGGTTCCAGTGACGTCCTCACTTGTGCGGATTGCCATGCGTGCTGTGCTTTGTGAATGGGCCCCAGTCTTCTGGGACATGTGAAGAAGGGGTTAGTAGGGGGGGTTGAGCTTCTGGCTCAGATTGTCAGATCTGACCCGGAAGTGGGAGCGGGTATCTGTCAAAACCAGATACAGGCAGACAAGCGGAACGTCCCCTATTGGGTGGAGTTACACTTTAAGAAGCATTTCACAATCCAGCTATGAAATCAAGCTATGGTTGTTATATTACCTGTACATTTATCTTTAATACATTCTAGGTGCATGGTCTGTGCTCTATAGGCTGCAATCTCTTATTTAAAAATGTTCATATTAGTCAGTGTCATAATTACCCTTTCTTTAAGAGAATCAATCAAAAATTGAATTTCACTCTGGGAATGGACCGGAGACTGCAAATGTATTCCAAGTCATTAAAAGCTGTCCACATACACACTGGTGCACATCAATTGTACAACCTCCATTAGGTTTCCTAACAAGTATATAATTCTTGGCCTAATCATGAGTAATAATGATGGATTTCAAGCATTGTACAAAGTAATTTCCCAACATGTTAAAAAACCTGTGTGACCTAGTGCCAGTTAAAAGGTTGTGTGGAGTCCTGGTTGTATGGACCAGCAATTGCTGACAGGCATATCATCGGTTAGAATAACTACTCATATATGGCCAGATCCACAATACGAAATGGAGACTAATACAACCAACCTTGGAATTAAATCCTTTATATCCATTACTTATGGGGACTCATTCTTCAAATTAAACAAGTATAGGCACTATTAATGGAAAGCACGCTGCCAAAGTCAGAAATCCTTTAATCATCCTTTGAACTGAAAAATTGATAATTTAGGTAGATCATTTCTGTAAATGTAAATAGCACACCTGCCACTCAGACATCACAGTTCTAGAATTCTACATTAGTTTACACTATTCATTGCTTGCTTAAGCGCTTGTCATTTGTGTACACATTAAAACCTGTATATTTTGCTAGAATTACTGTAACCCCCCCCCCCAAAGTATATATTTTCTAAAAGCAGAGACCCTGGAGAATAAAATAGTTGCCATTATTTGTTGCACAATACTTGCGCAGTTATTTATCAAATGCATATGTTAAGGAAAAAATTTCACCAAAATAAATTGTAGTGTGAACACACCCAAAATGATACCCAATTTGTTGGTATAATAAAAAAGATTGGATTACGTTAAAGTAAACAGATACCAAACATGTCAAGTCCTAAAACTGCACACGCCTGTGGAATCGCAAAAAAAAAAAAAAAAAAAAAATTTAGGTTACCAAAATTGTCCATGGGCAATGTTTTAAGCGCCTGCACAGGTCATCAGTTTAGCGTTAACGGTCAGCTATGAAACTAGAATTATTACTCTCAAACAGATTTTCGCGATACCACCTCTTGCTTTGCATGATTAAGGTTTATATACACTTGCTTGCCCTATGCTGTGCGTTTCATCTAAGATATGTGCAGGGGTGACGGGAGCGTTTTAAACAATTTTTAAAATTATTATTTACTTTTTATAAAATGTTTGCACTTTTTTTTTTATTGCAATCACAAGAGGATTAACAAGCCTCCTATTTGATAGTATAGGCAGGTGACAGGTGCTCTTTATGGAGACTCTGGTGGTCTTGTTCAACCCCCAATGTCTCCCCTGCCCTCCAGTGCAACTATTCCAAACACGGATCTTGCTGGAATAGCTGTATACTTGTGACATGATACACATTGCTTCCAGGGTCATTAGTCACAGGACGGACCAGAGAACAGACCCCCCCCCCCTCCCCCTCAATTTCCAAGAGGTTGCACAGGGAAAGCAGTTACCCACAGTGCTAGAGACTAGAGCCACTTGCTCACTTATCTGAAAGCCCTTTGCCAGCTCTTAAGCTCACAGCTGCAGCAACATTTGTGAGCTTGATTTTAACCACTTGTCTACCAAGGTACACTTTTTATAAACATGGTAGACAAGTGGCTAAAAGAAAGTTGGGATTTAGAAAAAAAAAAAAAAAAAAAAAAAAAAGTTATATACTCACCCAGGTGGATGTAGCATTGATCCGCTGCATCGGTCCCCCGCCGACTGTGAACTGAAAACAGAGTTTAAAGACAGCTGATCGCTCCGTTCTCAGCATTCTGTGAGCAAGGAACCAAGAAACGTCAGTCTCCGGCTCTCTGCCCCCCAATCCATGCTCACTGGAGCGCAGAGCTGTGGAGGGGAGCTGCAGGCTTGGGTTCTCAGCAGCTCCCTGAGATGCTGAGCCAGCTGCTGGTCCAGGCTTCTGGATGAATCCGGACCATGACGTCAGCCCGCTGTGGGATGAAAACGGGTCACAGGAATGCAGAACATAGGATAAGTATAGCCAGAATAGCTTATTTAAAAGGCCCCAATCACACCTGAGCATTTTGTAGCTTGAAGCTCCAAAACACCCAACATCAAAATCCAATGATTTTAAATTTAGCCTGTTCACACCTGGGTGTGGTGTTGCTTGGAGCTAAAAAAAGTACATGAGCTTCAGGCTTAAAGTGTTTTTGGCCCCAACAGACTTCAATGGGCGCACCTGAAACAACACAAACACAAATCTCACATAATTTTCACCCAAACTAGATTAAAAAATAAAAAGCCTCCAGAACCCGCAATGATTCCTGTACAAAATAAGTATATTTAAAAAAAAAAAAAAAGCATGAAAAACCACCAAAGACAACCAGTTAAAGTGTGAATAGAGCCTAAGGGGTTCACACTGTAAACCAAATTTTACAGGTACCGGCTCCCAACTGCGGTCGGACCGCCTAGGCAATCGGAAAAAGAAAGTGTCCTCCCTCCTTCCCTCCCCATCGTCTTCTGGGACACGTGACAGGTTCCAGAAGACTACAGGACCATTCATGAAGCGCAGAGCTACTTGCACATGCGCAGTTGGTACCTGGCTGTGAAGCCGCAAGCTATCACAGCCGGGTGCCCACACTGAAGATGCCAGCCTCCTGGAATACAGGACAGCAGGTGAAACGGGCTGCGGGGGACACACCACGGGACCGAGGGACAGGTAAGTGGCTGTTTTTTAAAAAGTCAGCAGCTACAGTTTTTGTAGATGGGCCTTAAAAATCTAACTGCAAAAAAAAAAAAAAACAAAACCAAATCTATTGCAGTGTTGCC